AGTAGCTGGGATTACAGGCACGCGCCACCATGCCCAGCTAATGTTTTGTATTTTTAGTAGAGACGGGGTTTCACCATGTTGACCAGGATGGTCTCTATCTCTTGACCTCGTGATCCACCCGCCTCGGCCTCCCAAAGTGCTGGGATTACAGGCTTGAGCCACCGCACCCGGCCGCATTATTTCTTTCTTAACTGTTCGATAGAATTCATGGACTCTGAAGCTCTTGAACTGGTCTTCTTTGTCCTTTTGCTCTGCCTTCTGGGAAATTTCTTTAACTTCCTCTTCTGTTAAAGTTATCCCGGCCGGGCGTGGTGGCTTACGGCTGTAATCTCAGCACTTCGGGAGGACGAGGCTGTCGGATTACGAGGTTAGGAAATCGAGACCATCATGGCCAACATGGTGAAACCCCGTCTCTACTAAAATACAAAAAAAAAATTATCCAGGCATGGTGGCGGGTGCCTATAGTCCCAGCTTCCTGGGAGGCTGAGGCAGGAGAATTGCTTACACCCGGGAGGCAGAGGTTGCAGTGAGCCACGATTGTGCTACTGCCGAAAGAGCGAGACTCCATCTCAAAAAAAAAAAAGAGCTTCCAGCAAAGGGGCACTGGCCAAGGAAGCCCCTTGCAGGGAGAGAATGGCACTTACTCAGAAGAAACACTTTAACAAACCACCTGGGCTGGAGGGAGGCATGCAAGGGTGCTGCATAAGAAAATGTGGTGGTTAGGCCGGGCGCGGTGGCTCAAGCCTGTAATCCCAGCACTTTGGGAGGCGGAGGCGGGTGGATCACGAGGTCAAGAGATTGAGACCATCCCGGTCAACACGGTGAAACCCCGTCTCTACTAAAAATACAAAAAATTAGCTGGGCATGGTGGTGTGTGCCTGTAATCCCAGCTACTCAGGAGGCTGAGGCAGGAGAATTGCCTGAACCCAGGAGGTGGAGGTTGCGGTGAGCCGAGATCGCGCCATTGCACTCCAGGTAACATGTTACCCATGTTACTCCTGGGTAACATGAGTGAAACTCTGTCTCAAAAAAAAAAAAGAAAGAAAAAAAAGAAAAGGTGGTGGTTAACTGGAGCAGGGGTCCAAGAAAAACCACAGGAAAGAGCAAGACATGGAGAAGAGAGAAGTCCCCTCTGGGTCACCACCCCATCCTGGCAGGGGATGTGTGGGGAGAAAAGCCAGGTGGTGGGGGTGGGGGTGTGGCAAGAAATGGGTGGCAGGCTGAAAAGAAGTATGGAAGAATAAAAATGAAATTGTTTTCAGTAGATCCTCTTCCCCAGCTCTGCCTTGAAACTTTCAGTAAATTTCACATTATTCACTACTGTTGTGAGTGTAGTGAGCAGCCTCTTTCTGGGGAAACTTTAGGGTCACTGTGGTCTATTGATGTTGGGCAGAAAGCGAGAGAGAAAGGGGCTGGACACAGACGTGGTTGTAGCACTTTTGTTTCCCTGTGTATTCACAACACAGTCCTGGAAAATGGCAGAAGGAGCAGGCAGCGACAGCTGGAGAAGAGGAGGCTGGAGGCCAAGGTCCTCACGGTGCGTTACTGGCTCCGTGTGAATTTAGCGCTGCCTGGTTTCAAAGCTCATGAAGGAATGATTTGGACAGGCGTGTCCCTCCTCCTGCCCTGAACAGGGCTTTAGAACTGTTGGGGTTAGGGTCGGTGCCAAGAGCTGCTGGTTCCTGTTTCTCGTAGGAGCACAGCATGTGGCATGAATGGGCTTGAGTCCCAGCTCTGCCATTTATGAGGTGTGTGACCTTGGACACATTATTCAGAGTCTCTGTACCTTAATCTCATCTGCAAAAGCAAGGCAATAATAGTACCTTCTCTATAGGGTTACTAGGAGAAGCAAATGAAATTATATACATAAGAGCCTCAGCACAGGGCAACAAATGTTTATTGTGTTATTATTTGCTAACAACCCAGAACAGCCCCATGAACAGTTGTTCATGGCATTTTCAAAGGGGAATTTTGAAGAGGAACTTTTTACTTTCTACATGTGGTAAAACCCTGTCTCTACTAAAATACAAAAACTTAGCTGAACAGCTAAGTTTTAATGCCATGAACAGTCCCAAAGCTCAGCACTGCTATCCATCTTTTTAATTTTTCTTTCAAGATAGGGTTTTGCTCTGTTGCCCAGGCTGGAGCGTAGTGTTGCAAACACAGCTCACTGCAGTCTCAACTTCCTAGGTTCAAGTGACCCTCCGTCCTCAACTCCCCAAAGTAGCTGAGAACACAGGCACGTGTCACCACGCCTGGCTAATTTTTTAGTTTTACCTTTTTTGAGATGGAGTCTCACCATGTTGCCCAGGCTGGTCTCGAACTCCTGGGCTCAAGCAATTTTCCCACCTCTGCCTCCCAGTGTTGGGATTACAGGCGTGAGCCACTGCACCTGGCCTATCCATCTTTTTGATCCACAGAAAAGAGTTTAGGTCCTAGAGTAAAACAGACCCAGCTCCAATCCCACTTCCTGGCTGGGTCACCGCAGGAAAATTGTTTAACTTTTCTGTTAAAGAGGTGAATAACACTTTGCTAGCGGGATTGTTGGGAGGGTGAGCTAACACGAAAAGTGCCTGGCGAAGTCCTGTCCACTTGTTTGATCACAAGATGATCTGGTGATTCCCCTGCACTAGGCTACTTTACTATACATATATTCTCAACAGCTCTCAGGCCTCACAGGAACATCAGATTTTTCCTACATTCGGTTAAGTGTGGCTGGAATGAAACTCTGGGATTTGTTCCTGCTGTGTTATCTGGGAAGCCAGTTGGCCTTATCTTAGCATCTTGCTATGCGAGTTGACTGAACCCTCACTAGAGCTGTACAGTGTCAGGTCAGCAATGGGAGTTGCTCTGAGAACTTCTGGGAAACTTAAATTGGCTAACATGGAATAAACTTTTTTTTTTTTTGAGACGAAGTCTTGCTTTGTCACCAGGCTGGCGTGCAGTAGCACAATCTCAGCTCACTGCAACCTCCGTCTCCCAGGTTCAAGAGATTCCCCTGCCTCAGCCTCCCAAGTAGCTGGGACTACAGGTGTATCCCACCACACTCAGCTAAGTTTTTGGATTTTAGTAGAGACAGGGTTTTACCACGTGTAGAAAGTAAAAAGTTCCTCTTCAAAGTTTCCCTTCTTGTTAAAGAAGAATAATAATAAATGTTAGAAATAATAGTTTCTTTTAAAGACTAACTTTCTTCAAAGCCTTCTTGCATTTTGCTAGTAAGTCTTTGTTAAGCCCTGTCCTATGTAGCTGTTAGATGTAAGGGAATAAGTGCATTCCATGTCCTTGTACTTTAACCAAGATATTTGTGCTGGGTGTGCTCACAGGCATGTAGCACATTCTAAGTCCTTTCCCAAGCAACTTCCTCTCCCTTCCTTATTTGGACTTCCTCTTTTCCTTTGTTCTCTGTTGCCTTTACCTATTTAGAAAAGTTATAAGTTGTTAGCCAGTTGGAGTCAGTTTAGATTGTGAGGTCTGTCTCCAACCAACGAAGACTGAACGCCACAGTAAAGACTCAATGCGTAAGGAATAAATACGACTGCCTGTCGTTTGTTCATTGTATTCTCATGGCAAGATGGCTAACGGGAGCACACTTTCTGCAGAAAGTAAAATTGCCTTGCTGAGAAAACTTTTTGTCTGAGTGCTAATTTTTCCTTGTAGTACCTAGGAACAAGCGTTCTGTCTCTAACACCATGTTGGCCAGGATGGTCTCAATCTCCTGACCTTGTTATCTGCCTGCCTCAGCCTCTCAGAGTGCTGGGATTACAGGTGTGAGCCACCACACCCAGCCAATGCTTTTTAAATCACTGCAATTTTTCAAGAACCATTTGACCCATTACCTCTGAAAAATCTCTTCTCATGGATGTATCAAAGGCATCACAAACTCAATATTGCTAAAAAATAAAAGCTTAACTATTTTTTCTTACTGTGCCCTCCAATCTGTTCCTTTTCTTTTCATCCCCAGTGTAACAAATGACTCTACTCAGGTGCCCAAGTCCCAAACCTGGGACTCTCCTTTGATGCCCCTCCCCTCACCCCTGCATTTGACCAGTTGCCAAGTCCTGTTGATTTTACCTTGTTAGTCTCGAAGTTTGTCTGCCCCCTTCCCTGGGCTCCTTCCTTGGTTGTGGGTGGCCTCAGATCTCCCCTGGATCCCCTGACACACTCAGAGCCCATGACTCCACCTCTAGCCTGTCCTCCCAGCCTTGCTCTACACTGAAGCTACAGGATCTTTCTGAAATGAATCCATTCACATTGCCCTCCTTCAGACACACATGTAGCTCCCAGAACTTTCAGGATCACATCTAAACCCTTTTCTTGGCTGACAAAGGTCTTTCTCACCTGCACCTGCCACCTCCAGGCTTGATTTCTGCTGACTCCCGAAGGCACAGCACTTAAGGACCACAATATTTTTAGGGACCTATGAACATGTTTTAATTTTTTTACAATCAGAAAGAAAAGCAATGGACTTTTAAATCATAAAAATGTTTTGTTATTTTGTTTTGTTTTTTGAGATGGAGTCTCGCTCTGTCACTGGGCTGGAGTGCAATGGTGCGGCCTCAGCTCACTGCACCCTCCACCACCTGGGTTCAAGTGATTCTCCTGCCTCAGCCTCCTGAGTAGCTGGGCTTACAGTTACCCACCACCACGTCCAGCTTATTTTCGTACTTTTAGTAGAGACGGGGTTTCACCATGTTGGCCAGGCAGTTCTTGAAACACCTGACCTCGTGATCGGCCTGCCTCGGCCTCCCAAAATGCTGGTATTACAGGTGTGAGCCACCTCGCTCAGCAAGTGTTTTAATATATAATAGTAGTGTATATGTTTATACCAACACTGCCATAAAATATGCACTTTAATATATTTGTTTAATGGAGGGAGGGGCCATCAAAGTAAAATGCTTAGGGACCTTGAAAGCTGTAATGTAGCCCTCTTGTTTACAGTTCCAAAGTCCCCCCTCTCCGGGCTAACTCTTCCTTATCAGTCCAGCTCTTAGTTAATAAATCCTGCCCTGCAGGAAGTCTTTTCTTTTTCTTTTCTTTCTTTTATTTTTATTTATTTATTTATTTATTTTTTTGAGACAGGGTCTGTCACCCAGGTTGGAGTGCAGTCATGGCTCACTGCAGCCTTGACCTCCCAGGGTCAAGCAATCCTCTCACCTCAGCCTCCCAAATAGCTGGGACCACAGGTGTGCACCACCATATTTGGCTAATTTTTAAAGTCTGTAAAGACAGGATCTCACTGTGTTGCCCAGACTGGTCTTGAACTCCTGGACTCAAGCAGTCCTCCTGCCTTGGCCTTCCAAAAGGCTGAGATTACAGGCATGAACCACTGCACTTGGGCCCAGGAACTCTTTTCTAACCCTAAAACTAAACAAAGTATGGTTCTGACTGCTCCGGGGCACCTGCTTTTGTCTATACCACAGCACAGACAGCCAAGAATGGTGTTTGCCCTGTTTTCTAGAAACTCCTTGACAGTAGGCTTATGTCTGGTTCATCCATGTAGCCCCAGGATCTGGCATATAGTAAGCACTCCACAAATAACTATTGAAGGAATACAGTTCTGTTTGCACAGAAGTTTAAAATAGATAAAAACCTTCAGGAGGGCAACCATTTTGAAATTCTTGAAATGCTTGCATTCTTTTCAATTTCACTCCCAAGGCGAGGTCACATAGCAGACAGAGAGGCAGACAGCCTAGGTTGGAATCTCATCTCTGCCAGTTACAGCTGCATGACCTTGAGTAAATTACTCAACATCCTCATGCCTCAATTTCCACGTCTGTAATGTAGGGATAATAACAGTTCCTAAGCTCATAGGATACTAGAAAAATTAAGTTAATATTTGGAAAGTGCTTGTAACAATCAATGCCTGGATTAGTCTGTTTTCACACTGCTGACAAAGACATACCCAAGACTGGGCATTTTACAAAGGAAAAGAGGGTCAATGAACTCACAGTGCCACATGCCTTAGAGGCCCCACAATCATGGTGGAAGGAGAAAGGCACATCCCACATGGCAGCAGACAAGAGAGAACTGGGACCCAAGCGAAAGGGGAAATGCCTTATAAAAACATCAGATGTTGTGAGACTTATTCACTACCACAAGAACAGTGTCAAGGGAGCCGCCCCCATGATTCAATTACCTCCCACTGAGTTTCTCCCACAACACTTAGGAATTATGGGAGCTACAATTCAAGATGAGATTTGGGTGGGGACACAGCCAAACCATTATCAATGCCTAATACATTGTAACCTATCTTAAGGAACTATTGAATGAAAGATGAAGATGCTGCTTTTGTTTTGTGGCAGAGTTCTAGCTCCAAATGTTCCAATGCGTATTTTCTCTGTGACCCAGGCTGGAGTGTGGTGGCTAGAAAACGGCTTAGAGCAGCACCAACCTCCTGGGTTCAGGCGATCCTTCCACCTCAGCCTCCCAAGTAGCTGAGACTACTGGTGCATGCCACCATGCCTGGCTGGTTTTTTAATATTTTGTAGAGATGGGGTCTCACTGTGTTGCCTAGGCTGGTCTCGACCTCCTGGGCTCAAGGAATCCATCTGCCCTGACCTCCCAAAGCGTTGAGATTAGAGGCAGGAGCCACCGTGTCCAACTCACAATGAGTATTTTTGATGTATTCCTCTCCTTCTCTTGTTCATTCACCGCACCCTAAGGTTTGGTTTGAGTTCCTCTTTCCTTACAGCTCTGTAAAAGCAGTTTCTGGACTGAGACACAGCAGATCTCCAAGGTGAGAAGCACCCGGGCTGAGGGTGGGGTGGGGGAGGGGCAGGACAACAGAGGAAGAGGAGAATGAGGAGGAGGAATCCAGAGGCCTCAAGATGGACTCTAGAGAGGCACCTTCCATTTGGAGGATGGGGCAGGGAGTCAAGGCAGACAGCTTCCCATTGTCCCATTGTCTGTAAACAGCTCCCTGTAACTATCCTGGGACCACAACACTTGTAAGGCCCCCTAGACAGATGTGTTAGGATTTAGCCTGAGGGAAGCTCTCCCTCCTCATAAGGTGAACCAGGAAATAATCATGTGGGAATTTCTCTTTGAGTCATAACAGCTCTGGACAAAGCACAACCATCATAATTACAGGGCTATTTGTTAAAGTGTTAGCTATTACAGTGAAAAATGCAAACAAGTTAATGTCTAATAATATGGGATCAGTTAAGCAAATGATGGTATTTTCTTTCTTTCTTCCTTTTTCCTTTCTCTTTCTTTCTTGTTTTTTTTCTTGAGGCAGGGTCTCTGTCTGCCAGGCTGGAGTGCAGTGGTATGATTTTGGCTCATTGCAACCTCTACCTCCCAGGCTCAGGTGATCCTCCAACCTCAGTCTCCCCAGTAGATGGGACTACAGGCACCCCATCACACCCAGCTAATTTTTTTTTTTTTTTTTTGGTAGCAACGGGGTTTTGCCATGTTGCTCAGGCTGGTTGGTAATCTGTATTCTTTCTTCCCTTCCATTTCTTTCCCCTCTCCTCCGCTCCCCCCTCCCCCGTCTCCCCTCCCCTTTCTTTCCTTCTCCTTCCTTCCTTCCCTCCTTCCTTTCCTTCTTCCTTTCCTTCTTCCCTTCTTTCTTTCTTCATTCAAACTAGATCAGAATGTAAATCTGTATTCTTTCAATGCAATGAACTAAAATATGAGTCTAACCATTTTTTTAAGGTCTGTGAGCCCTTCAGGTGAATCATTGAACCAGAGGGTGGTCTTAGGGCCCTGGGACACCTTGTTTCCTAGTTTTGGAAAGCCTCTTGATCTCTCTCTCTCTTTTTTTTTTTTTTTTTTTGTTTCCATCCTCACCCCACTCTCAGCCCTCCCCACCAATGTGAAAGAGCACGTACCTGGACATGCTCTATCAGGAGAGAAAAGTATAGATGCATAGATGAACTAAGCTGTTCTGCACAGCAGAAGTGCCAGGAATCTGGTCTTTCTGGTTGGTCAGAAAGACTGTTTTAGGGCCCTGACGTGTGTAGCAAAGTGGAGAAGGACCTGGTTAGAGGTGGAAGGGAGAAGACCAAGATGGCAGAAGGCCAGGACCTTGGACTCAGAAGTCCACCAGACATCTCCATGGCTGGCAGCAATGGCCAGTGCTGAACCTTATGTCATCTCCCACCTTCTGCTTGGCTGGGCTCACCATCTTGATCCCGAACTCCAGTACAGAACAATCTGTTCCCAGGCCGGGCTTGGTGGCTCACGCCTGTAATCCCAGCACTTTGGGAGGCCGAGGCAGGTGGATCATGAGGTTAAGAGATCGAGACCATCCTGGTTAACACGGTGAAACCCCGTCTCTACTAAAAATACAAAAAATTAGCCGGGCGTGGTGGCGCGCACCTGTAGCCCCAGCTACTTGGGAGGCTGAGGCAGGAGAACCACTTGAACCCAGGAGGTGGAGGTTGTAGTGAGCCAAGATCACGCCACTGCACTCTAGCTGGGCGACACAGCGACACTCAAAAAACAAACAATAAAAAGAAGAAGAAGAAGAATCTGTTATCCACTTAGTGCTTGGTGACTTTTGGGGACAAAGGAGGAGATAGATGGAGACAAAGTAGAGGGTGCAGGGACAAAACAGAGAAGAGAGCAGACAGACCTGTTAGGAAATGGATGTGGGAATTCAGCTGAATCAGGGACTGGAAAATTACCAGAAGAAGACTTGATGTCCCTCAGCATGTGGCATGGGACCAAGACATTTTATTTGGCTGTCAAAGAATAGGCAACCACAGAAAGTTGAAGGACTTGGGAGCATATATATTCCTGCATCGAGATTAATTAAAACTGCCCTGGAGGAATATATCTGAAGGCAAATAGTGGCTATCTCTAAATGTGGGGTAACATAATTTTATTTTTTAATTTAATCTATACAGTCTAATCTTTTCTGCCATGACAACGTAAGGCTCTTGCAGTAAAGAAAAATAACTGTTGGCCAGGTGCGATGGCTCATGCCTGTAATTCCAGCAATTTGGGAGGTAAGGCAGGAGGATCATTTGAGTCAGGGGTTCAAGACCAGCCTGGGCAGCATAGTGAGACCTGGCCTCTACATAAAATTTTAAAAAGTAGCCAAATAGGGTGGTGCATGCCTGTGGTTCCAGCTACTTGGGAGCCTGAGGTGGGAGAATCACTTGAGCCCAAGAGACTGAGATTGCAGTGTCATTGCACTCCAGCCCAGGTAACAGAGTGAGATCCTGTAAAAAAAATAAATAAATAAATAAATAAATAAAAGAAAAGAAAAGAAAAGAAAGAAAGAAAAGAAAAGAAAAAGAAAAAGGAAAATATCTGTTAAAGGTAAAATTGATATTCTTGGCCATGTGGCTCATGTCTGTAATCCTGGTACTTTGAAAGCCTGAGGTAGGTGAATCACTTGAGCCCAGGAGTTCAAGATAAGCCTGGGCAGCATGGTGAAATTGTGAAATGCTTCTCTACAAAAAACACAAAATTAGCCAGGCATGGTTGCAGGCACCTGTAGTCCCAGCTGTGAGGGAGGCTGAGGTGGGATGATTGCTTGAGCCTAGAAGGCAGAAAGGTGAGCTGGGATGGCACCACTGCACTCCAACCTGGGCAACAAAGAGAAACCCTGTCTCAAAAACAAAACAAAACAAAACAAAAGTTAAAGCCCAGGTGCAGTGGCTCACACCTGTAATCCCAGCACTTTGGGAGGCCCAGGAGGGTGGATCATCTGAAGTCGGGAGTTTGAGACCAGCCTGACCAACATGGAAAAACTCCATCTCTACTAAAAATACAAAATTAGCTGGTGGTGCATGCCTGTAATCCCAGCTACTCAGGAGGCTGAGGCAGGAGAATCTCTTGAGCCTGGGAGGCTGAGGTTGCAGTGAGGCGCCATTGCACTCCAGCCCGGGCAACAAGAGCGAAACTCTGTCTCAAAACAACAAAATACTTTTTAAAAAACCCTGATAGTCTTAGCTAGAAAATTCAAACTACAGATTCAGTAGTCCCCCCTTATCCACGATTTCAGTTACCTGCGGTCAACTGTAGTCCAAAAATATTAAATCAGGCTGGGCACAGTGGCTCATGCCTGTAATCCTAGCATTTTGGGAGGCTGAGGCAGATGGATCCCAAGGTCGGGAGTTGAAGACTAGCCTGGCCGAGATGGTGAAACCCTGTCTCTACTAAAAATGCAAAAAATTAACCGCGCGTGGTGGCAGGAGCCTGTAATCCCAGCTACTCGGGAGGCTCAGGCAAGAGAATGGCTTGAACCTGGGAGGCGGAAATTGCAGTGAGCCGGGATTGCACCACTGCACTCCAGCCTGGGCGACAGAGCGAGACTCCGTCTTAAAAAAACAAACAAACAACAAAAAAAATTAAATGGAAATTTCCAGAAATAATTCATGTTTTCAGTTGCTTGCCATTCCGAGTGGCAGGAGGAAATCTCACGCCGTCTTGCTTCATCCGTCTCCGCTTGCGAATCCTCCGTGTGTCCAGTATGTGCACTGCAGATGCCACTTGTCCACCAGTCGCTTAGCAGCTGTTGGTTATCAGACCAATCCATGGGATCAGTGCTTGTGTTCAAGTAACCCTCATTCGACTCAATTGTCCCATTTATTATTTGTTATCTTTGTTCATCACTTACTGAGCCTATTTTGTAAATTAAACTTGATCATAGATAGGTCGGTAGGAAAAACCATAGTATATAAAAGGTTTGGGCGTCGGCTGGTGAGGGCGCAGCAAACCGCCGGCGGCTAGTGCGGCGCGGGGGGCGGGCGGCGCGGAGCGGTTGGCGGTGACCTTGGAGGAGGCGTCCCGGCGCCCGGGACGGTACTTCTGCCACCACTGCTCCGTGGAGATCGTCCCGCGCCTGCCGGATTATATCTGCCCGGGATGCGAGTTTGGTTTTATCGAGGAGCTTCCGGAAGAGACCAGGAGCACAGAAAACGCTTCTGCCCCCTCGCAGTCCCCACGGACCAGAGCCTGCCGCCGCTGGAGAACCTGGACCAGCACCTGTGCACGCGGCCGCAGGACTCCGAGCAGTTTGCTTTGGGCATCTTTGACGACTGCATGGAGATCCCCACGTTCTCTCCTGGGGCACAGGCTGACGACGGCCGGGACCCTGAGAGCCGGCGGGAGGGAGAGCATCAGTCCCCGCCCCGCCCCGCCCCGCCCCGCCCCGCCCAGCGCCTGGCAGCCCCGCGCCGGCCTCACCAAGCCGGCCACCATCCCCCGCCTGGGTCCTGGGGGAGTCCAGTACCCAACCCTACGGACCCCGCCTGGGGAGCCAACGGCCTGGACGCCATCACGCAGCTTGAAAGCACGGGCCCCCCACCGGCAGATAAAGAGAAAATCCAGGCCCTCCCCACCGTCCCCGTCACCGAGGAGCACGTGCGCTCCGGACTCCAGTGCCCCGTGTGCAAGGACGACTACCGGCTGCGCGAGCGCGTGCGCCAGCTGCCCTGCAGTCACCTGTTCCACGGCGGCTGCGTCGTGTCCTGGCTGGAGCAGCGCGACAGCTGCCCTGTCTGCCGAAACAGCCTCACCGGACAGAACACGGCCACGAACCCCCTGGGCCTGGCTGGGATGAGCTTCTCCTCCGCATCGTCCTCCTCCTGCAACTCGCCCAGCAACTAGGCAACTAGAACACCACAAGTAACTCCTGAGCCCGCGTGGGCCGGCACTCGTGGCAGGCAGGACCCGTGGAACAGGCGGGGGCCTGCAGCACTCACCAGCCAGGATGTGAGCGGCTCAACCCTCTGATGTGCAAGGTTCACGGCCAACAAGAGAAACAATCCTCCAAATTGCTTTGACATGACTGAAGCCATACTTATTTTTAATAGCTTTATACAGCTTTAGCAGCTTTAACAATATCTTTATACAGCCCACTGGCCCACTGGCTCCAGAAAGTATGAGCCACATGGTCCCCTCTGGGGCGTCCCCCAACCCCCTCCCACCTTTGTCTAACCTCACCCTCTAAACGTTCAGCAGTGGAAAGATTTTTATAATTTTAAATTATTATTGTTTTGAAATAAATGGATGTTTTAGCTCACATGGCAGCCATACATGATCTGTGGCAAGACGGGGCACAGCTGCTCCACAGACTGCCAGCGCCACCAGGACAGGCCACGTGGGCCCCCAGCCACCCCCTCTGGCTGCCTGCACCACCCGGAGTTCGGGGCTCGGAACCATGAGGATGACCAGCAAAATTCAAGAACAAAACCTCTTGGAGAGAGATCCAAGATGGCTGATCACTAGCAGCTCGGGATTGTAGCTCCCAGTGAAAGCGCAGAGAACGAGAGGACGCCACACTTTGAGATGAATTTTT